GATATCGATTTTAAAATACTATAATTTTGTTTAGAGTCAAATAATAATATGAATACGCTACAAACTTTCTGATTTTACCATGCACATTTAGAMCGGCATAGAATACATCATCGCGAAAAGCGACACTTAATGAAATTTCGTAAACTCCGATGTCAGACCATGTCAGACACGGACTGCAGCAATGTCACTACTATGTTCTCAATACATGCTATGTTTAACACTTTTTGGATTTTTTTTTTGTGTATTATGAATTTATTATTAATCATTTTTTCCTGGAAATAGTCGCACTTCGGCTTATTTGAAATAGAAAAATCCATGTCCGTACGAATAAGTCACGCAGTCTATTCATACGAAAAAAAAGCAATGAAAAACGTAATTCAAAAATTTCTAAAAGTAATCTAGTTAACCGTGATTCGAAAAAATTAGTCATGAGTCGTGAAATCGCCAAATTTCTAGCCGTGAGTCGTGATGCGTACCACCCCATTGAGACCCTCTTGAAACGTACATGTACGTGCATGTACAAAGTTGAATTTGAATGCRCATTGACATCATCCTATTGTGTTACTGGTGTTTTCAACCTACCTTATATTGCAAGATAACATAGAAAAGAGGGCTAAGTGGGCATGCGCATTACTAAGGGGATAACACTGTATTTTGCATTAATTTGCAGATTCCTCTTGAAGATCAAGAACGTCAGCCCCTTTGATACCGCCATTCTCATGTGTCTTCTCTTTATATAAAGTTTTTATATAAAGTTAGTCTTATTCAAAAGGAAGATATTGTTTATTTCATCGAAGACCCAAATTCTCTTATTTCCTTTTTTGTTTTGAATTATCAAATTCAATCATTGACAGCTATGAATGTGATAAATAGTAGCTTCCAAAACCAAAACGCCTCTAATGCATCATGGATGTACTATCACAATTCAACGGTCAAAGAGATATCAGATGCTGCGAGTGTGCAAAACGGAAAAGAAGTCAAGTTTATTTCGCTTTGCATCATTATTCTTGCTGCGTTGCTCGGAAATGGCTTCATTCTGTGGCACATTTCTAAAGACAGACGCAGGCGCTCRGCAACAAACATCTACATTGCAAGTCAGTGCGTTACTGATTTTGCAACATCTCTACTCGTCATTCCATTTGGCGCTGCYTCACTCCTCCAAGGTGGCTGGATGCTTGGGAAAGGATTTGCTATAGCCAACTGCTTTTTTAACATGTTCTTCACCTCTCTAAYGCTACTCAACCTAGCAGTTATAGCACTTGATAGATACTTTGCAGTTGTTAAGCGATCCCATCATCTGATAACACAACGCACTGCTATGTGGATTGTTCTGGGTTGCTGTGCTACGGCTTTTGTGGTATCTTTTCCCTGGTTACCATTACTAAGCGATGAAGTCGCGGTCGATTTCATGGAAGGATTTCTTACTTGTGGACAAAAATTTGTACGCTCGTCAGCACAGCTTGAAATAGGATTATTTTTCATCATCTCAGCAGCAATAACTTGCATTCCGATGGCTATTATATGCTTCAGCTTTTACCATATAGCTAAGAAAGTAAAGAAAAGCCGTTGCAGCACAAATCCAATGGCACTGTCCAATGCTCGAAAGCTCCAGGCAGATGCTTACGCCAAATCAGCTAAAACGTCGTTTATTGTGACACTTTCAAGTCTTATTCAAGTTTTCCCGGCATGCATGATGATGGCATTAGACGGTATACAATTCATGCGGATTCCCAAAAATGTCGCCACAGCTGCCAAAATCATAATGTGGAGCCATTGTGCGTTAAAACCAATAGTTTACGCGGTCCGCAAAAGGATGTCTACATTCAGTGGAGAAGATAAAAGGCGTGATTATCTAGAATCACATTATGAACAGAAATCTCTTCCCTCTATCAGCCAAAGAAGCAACGTATATATTGCAGATKGTTTCCAGACGAACTTCAGCTGTGTCATGGAGAGAAGACAAGTTAACAATGGAAACAAGATTATTTACGATCCTCCTTGTGTTGTGCACTCGTTTAATACAACCAAGGAAGACATCGATCGAAAATTTGATAATGTTCTAGCAATAGTTAATATTTAAAAGATAGCGTACAATTGAATAACAATGGTCTCCTTCACGGTTCTCTGCGCCATCTTGAAATGCAGCCGTGCCTTTACATCGAAGCGATACAACCGTTGAACGTGCAATGATAAATACCTGTGAATAATTGTCTGTAGGTGCGAAAGAAGGTCTATCATTGCACGTTCTTCAACGGTCGTCAAGCTTCGATGCAAAGGCACGGTTGCCTTTCAAGATGGCGCAGAGAACCGTGAAGAAGACTTTTGTTGTCAGCTTCAAAAGGTGAATCGTGGAAGATGAGTTAAATAGATAGTGTCACTTATTCCCTTCAGTTTTTTTCTTCGATGATCTAAATTTTGCACCGAAGCCCGATATTTCAATTTGAGGTGTACTGTTGTCGGAGAGAGCTCCATTTTTAGCTCGAAGCAATCGAAGAGTTATTGGAGGGGGGACGAATCTGTCACTCACTTTCACTCAGTCACTCAGTCTGGTATGGATCTATCGTGCATGCATTTGAACAGTTATTTAGAAGTTAAATTTGAAAGTACAAAATAGAATGATTTTTTTTTTCAATTTTAATGAAGTATACTTATAATTGGTACTCCTAAGGAGTACAATGAACGCTGTAGTTGTACTCCTCTCGACCAATGAAAAAGTATTATTTTGTTGAATGTTTTATAAATTCAGAAATAACTATGTCCCATAATCACATGATACTTAGAGTGGTTTTCCGTCAGCCATGGAAAGAAATAGACCAACTAGTTACTAGCAATTAGTAATAGTCAATATAACGTTTAGACATATAGACTATAGACAATTAGTATAAACATACTAATGGTCTATAACTCATACTGCGCTGTGATTGGCTACTCTACTAATGGTCTAATTTGTGATAGACCACTCGCGGGAAAATCAAAATAAATAAATTATAAAATATTTTAAGGATATTTCAATTTGTTTCCACTATTTGACCGATTAGTATGTTTATACTAAAACAATTAGACCTCTCGGTTTCGTGGACTACGAGCTAATAGCCCATTCGGCCTCGCGGACTTCGGCCTCGCGGACTCGGCCTCATGGGCTATTAGCTCGTAGTCCACTCGACCTCGAGGTCTAATTGTTAAATAGCTAACCACTAAGATTAACATAAAAAAACTTGTTTTTGTGATGAATATGGTGATACCTATCAATCGTATACAGGTCTACTCTAGACTAGACTATTAGTATTGGTCTATGACAAACTACTACTAACTATTAGACTACTTGTGCTTTCATGGTTGACGGAAAACCACTCTAGTACTTATCCATTGTGCAATAGTTAGGAAAGGCCGACGGGTTCCGGGGGGTAATATATTTGTTCTTATGTCCCGACCAGCTCAAGCCGTCCCAACTGATTGCCATTGAGAAATTCAGGAAAAAAGAACTCTACAGGCAAAGAATACTTTTTAAGAATTCAGTTTTGCCAGGAAAAAAACGTTATATAAGCCTTTTTTACCAACCTTTTGCCAGGAACAAAATTATTTTAAAGAAGGAAGTGTGCCACATTTGCTTGTGAGAATGTCAACAATGTAGCTCAAAATTCTTTCACAGGAAAAAAGTTCGTACAAGGACAGACCCCGTCGGCATTCTCCTAAATAATTATATTTGTAAATTAGTCAAGTTGTAAGACGATGTAAATATTACTGATACGGTCACAAACAGTTTGTTGCACGGGATYGTATCGGGCAAAAATGACAATCTGTAGCTGAAAAAATGGCGAAGCCAAATTCATCTAATTGCAAAAACGTTKTCATAGTGAGGGAAGTAGAATATTTGTTTTGAGAAAAAGGAATGCAGAGTTATCTTCCTTTGCCTTTATGCCTTTTTATTAAAGGAAAAATGTTCTATAACAACACCTTAACCATTAGGTATACAGCTATTTCAAAAAACGTTGTCGGGGAGAACGGCGAACGGCGATTGTCGAAGGGAGATTGCACGACCGAAAGAGACAATGGTTACACTTAAAATTTCTCAAAATTYCACTTATTGGATTCACCTTATATAGAAATGGAGACTTAATGGAGCCTATGTTTACTACAGACAATCTTACAGTACAAATCAGTTGTTATTGCCTTTCAACTAGCAAAACCCATGGCTACTTTCAGTCGTGCAATCGCCGTAGYCGACAATTGACATTCACCATTTTTTCCGACAACCTTTTTTGAAATAGGTATATACCTATTTCCAAAACAGGTTGTTGGACGCCAACTCTCGAATGGCAATTGCACGACCGAAAGTATTCATGGGTTTTGCTAACTGATGAGAAATAACAACTAATTTATACTGTAAGATCAGTAAGTTTGTGGTGAGCATTGATTTCATTTAGTCTTCGTTTCTATGTAAGGCGAATCCAATAAGTGAAWTTTTTTTTGTCAAAACGACAGTGTAACTATAGTGTATCCATTTKAGTCGTTCAATTTCCTTTCGACAATGGACGTTCGCCGTTCTCACCGACAACKTTTTTTGAAAAGCGTGYATACATGCTGGTAGCGTAGTTGAGTAAGTCAAGTAAAGCCTAAACAATAGATAGCAGAGAATACAGACACTAACTGAACACACATAAAATACAATTGTTCCACCACAGCAGCCCTTGCTGCATTTGTGTATATTTTCTTCATAGACACTAGCGATAGATTGTTTTCAAGGGACACAAAAGATAAAAAGACAGGCAGACATTTTTGAAGAATGAACAATGGATACTAATTGAATTTCTTTCTTGAAGTTCCCCGAAWTTGSCCATTGTGAGAGGGTCTCAATTAACCGTGAGCCGTGAAACGGCTGAAAAATTAACCGTTAGTCGTAAAAATTAGCCGTGAGGCGTGAATATTTTTTTATAGCGTGAGCCGTGATTCAGTTTTGTCCCTCAGAAGGACAGTCAAGTCCGATGCAGGCGCGCGCTTGTAATTTTTTTTGTAAATTTTTTTGTAAATGCTCTATTTGCAGAGTAGCTCATTTAGTGCATCGAAGACCTTCATTGAACGGGAGCCTGCGTCACGCTAAGTGTGGCAAGAAACTAAAAGCTGCTCGAAATAGAATGTTACAATATTGAATCGACATCTTTTTTTAGATTGCTAATAAAGTTACAAAAGATTTTTTAATTCTTAGATAGTATTTTTGGGATTTGTTTGTACATTTTAAAACTCCCGCTCATTTAGTGCATCGAAGACCTTAATTGAGCGGGAGCCTTCGTCACTCTAAGTGCGACAAGAAGCTAAAGCTGCTCGAAATAGAACGTTAGATTTTTTTTGCCAAAACAAAACTAGCACTCATTCAGTATGTTAGTACATCGAAGACTTTGAACGGGAGCCGATCATATATCCACTTCGTTAAAAAAAGACGGTTCTCGGGAAAGTGAAAAACAAGAGATGACAATAATTATGCAGAAATAAATAAATAAATAAAAAAAGATAAAAAATAAATTAAATAAAAAGGAAAAAACAAAATCATTAAACGTCTCCTCCAGGGAATCGATCCCTCTACCGTCAAACCTACATTGGATTTGCAAGCGGCGCCTTAACGCGGTGCGCCACTGGATCACTCTCATTTACATAATAATAGACCACTTGACACTTTCACCGAATAGACTACCCCAATTTGACATTATACTTTCGATAGTTGCCTAGTTAGTGCAAGGGGTTATCCATCAGTGTCTAGGGGCCGGATAGCTTCTCCCTCACTGGCTTTTTAGTTAGCGCGAAATTAGGACCAATTATCGGGATAGCATGGAAGAGCCGAAAACTCTAACCGGAATGTAAATCGATTCGCCGCCTCAGCTTCACAGAATGTCTCGGGGGAATCGTCCCAACCTTTTTTCGATTTTATGGTCATGGGTTCGAATCCCAATACTCAAGTTTTTTCTTTTTTCATATTTCTTTTTTTTTTTTTGCTTTTTGTTGTTGTCTTTGAATTAGCTTCCTATGCATTAATGTTTAATTACAAAATCTGCAGAATCATTTAGTAATTACTTCTATATATTTTCTATAATGTGATATTTTAACAGCGCGATTTCATTGGCTTGTTTTCATTAAACGTATAATAAGTTTTCACAGACATGGTATATATCTGACATTTTAAAGTAATTATATAAGATATCGATTTTAAAATACTATAATTTTGTTTAGAGTCAAATAATAATATGAATACGCTACAAACGGGTTTTTTTCCAAGCTTTCGGTCTTTCTCTTTTTTAAGAGGAGTCCAATAGATAAGGGTAATACAATCGCATAAACCATCGAGTCTATTTTTCATTGCCCGACACAGGGTTCCAGCGCCTATATCMATGTTGTGTGRTCGTTTGCCTGTCCGACTGCACTCCAAAGAAAACCCATAAACCACCCAAAAGAAGGAATTCAAAAGAGGTGCCAAAATATTTCCTGAAAAGTCACTATTTTTCTTYATAAAGTTAAAATCCATCATGACAATCAAAACACGCACAAATTCCCGAMATATTTGTGAAAGTACAAAAAAAGTAATATTCATGGGTTTTGAAGCAAAGAAGGTATCCCTTTTCCCTTTAATATTTTGATAACAGAGAAAAAAGTTGATTAACTGTGAACATTAGTGCAACGCCCTTTATGACACAAGTAGCCCAGAAAACAAATTTTCTTGAGCAGCTTGCAAAAATTTTTGGACGAGATTTTTTCGAGATTTTTTACGCCTTTTTCTTGTTCTCCCAACATCCTGCGTAGTTTATTTCACCAGGAACGCACGAAAATGTGTTGTTTATTGCTTAATGAACTTATTTCTCCAATACCAATGTTTCAGTTGACTCTCCTCAGGTAAAAAAAAAACTTTAAAGAAATCATGGGAAACTGATTTTCAATATTTTTAAAAAATTGAATTTTCTTCTATTTTTCTATTGCAGTTTTATCAACTTTTACAAACTATTTCTAGCTGTTTTTATTTGCATTGTTACAAATACATTTTTGCACATCTAACTTTTCGAAAAAGTTAGGAAAGTTTCGAAAAATGTCACTGGGTACAGAGAGTCGTACGATATTCAGACTTCCCACTGCCTAGCTATTTAGTTACCTATTGTCCTGTAAAACTATTTCAGCACGTTAGCTATTTTTAATTAATTGCAATTAAAATCTAAACCACCATATAATTCTTTGTGCACAACTTCTTCTTTCATTCTTTTTTTAAAGCTAGAGCCGACGAGTAGACGGTTTTTTTTGTTTTTTGTTTTTTCATTGTTAAGGAAACTTTGGGACGTCGCATCTGTTTTTTAATTAAAATGCTTGTTTTTTTTAACTATGCACCTGCGGTGCTAGTTACAGATCGTTTTATTACATAAGCATGTCTCATCATGCAGTAGTCAGTGCCATTATTTTGACGAGCTTCTAACAAGCACACTACAGAGGAGCACGAAAGACTTATTAATCAATTCAAACATGATCTTCCTGTTGCAGGTCAGTTGTATTAATTACATCGAAATGATTTTGATTTGCTCACACCTTATTCTGTTAGATGTTATTATATATTGACTCTAGTAGGTTTGAGACCACAACCCTAGTTTTCTTCTTTTTATCTGTTCTTCTTTTAGCTGTTCTTTGGTTTTCCTGAACCGCAAGTAGTTGCACATCTTTCCCTCCTTAGAAACATGTCCCTTTACTCTTCATACTTTAATTAATCCCCTTCTTGTTTCATATCGCATATCATTTTGTTCTAGTTTTCTATCTGGCGAGATAAAAAAAATTTTGATTTTAATTATTCTACTTGTTACGAAGAAGTTCTTAAATCTCAAGCATTGTTCCGACACCCACATTATTGTTTTGTTTTGTCTAGTCTATTTTAATCTTCACTTGTTTAAATGTTCATTAGGTATCAAAATGTTTCCCGAAGAATCGATATCTTTTCTTCATAAATTTAAAATCCATGATGAAAATCAAAACACGTACGAATTCCCGCCAATTTTATTACAATCTGCTACGCATTTTCATAGTTGTGAAAGTATAAAAAAAGAAAAGAAGAAAGCTCTAAAAAGTAAGAGGGTCATCA